GCCGCATTCTGGACCAGTTGGAGCCTCTGAGTGCTCTTCAAGGGGAGCCCCAATAATAATAATAATAATAATAATAATAATAATAATAATAATAATAATTTTATTTCTATACCGCCGTTCTCCTGAAGGACTCAGGGCGGTGTACAGCCTATTTAAAAACACAAGACAAAACATCGATTTAAAATTTAAAATAATTAAATAAATCTGGCTCAATTTAAAACCCCACAAATTTAAAATACACCAATTTAAAATTATTATGTTGATAGCCCAGCCTGGCGGAACAACAGGGTCTTCAGTGCGCAGCGAAACACCCAGAGGTCAGAGATCTTACATATTTCCGGGGGCAGTTCATTCCACAGGGCTGGGGCTCCCCCTGGGTGTCGCCAGCCGACATAACTTGTCTGATGGTACTCTGAGGAGACCCTCTCTGTGGGAGCGAACTGGCCGGTGGGAGGCTATTGGTGGCAGAAGTCGGTCTCGAAGGTACCCTGGTCCTGTGCCATGGAGCGCTTTAAAGGTGGTGACCAACACCTTGAATCGCACCCGGAAGACCACTGGGAGCCAGTGCAGCTCGCGCAGGAGGGGTGTCACGCGGGCACGAGTTGCGCCCATAACCACCCGCGCAGCCGCATTCTGGACCAGTTGGAGCCTCCGAGTGCTCTTCAAGGGGAGCCCCATGTAGAGAGCATTACAATAGTCCAACCGGGAGGTGACAAGGGCGTGAGTGACTGTGCGCAAGGTGTCCCTGTCCAGAAAGGGCTGCAACTGGCGAATCAGGCGGACCTGATAAAAGGCCCCCCTGGCCACGGCCGTCATATGCTCTTCTAAAGACAGCCGTGCATCCAGGAGGACACCCAGATTGTGAGCCCTCTCTGTGGGGGGCAAAGATTCACCCCCAATAGTCAGCGATGGCACCTGCTGTCTATATCGGGACGCCGTGCAGTCAGAATTAGCCCCTCTGTTTCTTCCTTCAGTTTTCCCATTGCCAAGTCCTGTTGTTATCTACTTCATCTGCTACTTTTTTTGGTATTGACCCAGTAGTGAAAATGCTACTGGTTCGTCAGAACTGGTAGTAAAAAAATGCTTTAAAAAGTTTAAAAAAAAAAAAAAGTTCTGACCATCGCACATATTTTTTTACCATCACCAGTATTTTTTTACTACTGGTTCGGGCAAATAGGTAGTAAAAAATGCTTTAAAAAAGTTTTTTTAAAAAAGCATTTTTTTTTACTACCTATTGCCCGAACCAGTATTTTTGTGTAAAGTGTGATAGTTTGTTTTTGAGCTCTCTGTAATTCTGTGAGGTTCCTCCTTGTTGCAGGGGCCATTTTGTGTGATATCCAGCTGCTTTTGCATTGTGTGCGAGTCAGTTGTGTAGCTTTTGTGACATTTTGTGTGTAAAGTGTGATAGTTTGTTTTTGAGCTCTCTGTGACTCTGTGAGGTTCCTGCTTGTTGCAGGGGCCATTTTGTGTGATGTCCAGCTGCTTTTGCATTGTGTGCGAGTCAGTAGTGTAGCTTTTGTGTTATTTTTCTGTAAAGTGTGATAGTTGGTTTTCCTGATCACATGACCACCAAGCCACACCCACCCAGTCACATGACCACAAGCCACGCCCACAAAGCCACACCCACAGAACTGGTAGGGAAAATTTTTGAATTTCACCACTGTATTGACCAGGCAATACTTTGCCTTGCCATGTCTCTTTCCTATTCTTCATTTGGTTTTGTAAGCCAGTTTGATATCTCTACAACTCAGTAAGCACACATGATGTAATATCTTCAGTGCATCTTCTTCATTGTCATTCAGGCAATTCAGTCCTTTTTTCTTCAACTGTCTGGTGTACTTGCAATATTCCATGTCCATATTACTATTATTTTTATTATTATTAATCCTCTTATGTTTATACACCTAGTTTCAGTTTAAACACTTACGGTCATTAGCTGATGGGGGAAAAAAGAGAATAATAGCCTAGTAACAAGGGAAATTACAGTATTTAAAATCCGTAGTTAGCAGACTGGGTAGAATACATAGTGACAGAGGTAACTCACTAAATTAAGTCCGGATCTCTAAATCTATTTGATTTGTGGCAAAACTGGAAATAATCATTTTTCTGTGAACTCCAATTCCTTCATTGGACATTCTAATTTTCCTTTGTTTAGGAAACTTTTGAAAAAGCAGTCACAAAAAGACTATTCTTTCCTTTAAAGGGCTATTTGTTTCCTTTATCTGTTCTTTCTGGGTGAAGAATATCAGCATGAGCTAATCTTCCTCAGCATCCAGACCTTCGAAATGAGTTTTGTTTACTCAGAAATTAGCTGCATAGTCACTTAAACTAAAGGCCATGTGATAAACCAAGCAAACCCCATCTGTGTCCCAGGAGTAATTGCTATATAAAGAATTTAATTGTCTTTTTTACAAGTGTAATCACTACTAGCTCTTTTCCCCAAGGTTGTACGTAGGCTGCTTTAGCATATCTGAAAAGATAGATTTAAGGCTGTCTTATCCTTCTAAAAGGGATGCAGTGGCTCAGTGGCTAAGACCCTGAGCTTGTCGATTGAAAGATCGGCAGTTCAGCGGTTCGAATCCCTAGTGCTGCATAACGGAGTGAGCTCCTGTTACTTGTCCCAGCTTCTGCCAACCTAGCAATTTGAAAGCACGTAAAAAATGCAAGTAGAAAAATAGGGAGCACTGTGTGCCTTTGGTGTTTAGTCATGCTGGCCACATGACCACAGAGACGTCTTTGGACAGTGTTGGCTCTTCGGCTTAGAAACGGAGTTGAGCACCGCTCCCTAGAGTCAGGAACAGAGTTATAAACATAAAATAGAAATACATTTGCTCCCCTATGGACTGTATTTCTTGATCACCACTGTGGATCAGTGATTTTCTCTTCTTAGAACAAGACCAGGGATAACTCATTGGGGACAATATAAGTCTTCATACTTGCAACACTGAAAGATATGCATGGAGTAAATATTAACTTTTAAAGCTTCGTTTAATTTCAGGGTTCCTCTTCTCCTCCTTTTTAAGAAATTGCTCTCAGGAATTAACCTATGCCAGGAAGAAAGAAAACAGCGGTTTTTGTATTGTAGAAATTTGCATAGCGAGAGAGACAACTCTATGCATTATTGTTCTCCTGTTTCAGGCACATTAGAACAAAAGTTCATCTCACAGAATTTACCTCAGGCTACAGTGCATTGATGACGTACATGACGTACATGTGAAAGGTGACATGCCATGAATATTTTGTGTGACATACCAGAGTTCACCAACTGTTGTCCCTGTTTGGGCTACCGAAGAAACTGATTGAGCTTGAATACCAGAAATACATAGCCCTGTGTCCTCCAGAGCTTAAAATTCTCATCATCCATATCAGTACATGATCTGTTATTTTCAGAATTGTGATTTGTGGTGACATGAGAGACCAACTTGTAAAATGCAAACATGGCAGCTGCATAGTTCAGTTGTTTTCCAACCAACTGTTGGAAATCGCTGTTTTGTGCAACTAAGCTTAATTTCCCGGTTCAAGCACAGAGGTTATCTGCAACCACAATTTCCAACATGAACACATCATCAATGATTCTATGAAACATGAAGAGCATTGAATTATAACTGAATATGTAAAGAATTCTTTCTCTTTTGTTTGGGGGTAGGGAATTTTTTGCTAACTTAAAAAATATATTCTTAATATATTTTGAAAAATATATTCTCTTCCAGCTTATATTACTTTCATATTCTTTCCTTATCTGTCCTCACTTTTCCAGGGATGTCAACTTTTCGTTACAATATGTTGGCAACGTAATGCTTTAGGAAGAAAATTAATGTTTCTGTTTTCATTGTGTCATATCACTTTAACAGGAATGGTAAACACATGAATTTAATCATACTCAAGAAATCTGATTTTTGGTTATTTCTTCAAATAATAACCTGACTAAAGATCATGCATTAACTTCATTTTCTCAACAATTGTCCTTCCAATCATGAAGGACTTTTAATCATTTTTAAATTAGCTATTGAAAGAATAAATACATAATATGTTTAGCTTGAAATGTGTCTTAGTGGAACTCGCCTTTAAGTTAATACACTTTATAGCAGGGGTGTCAAACTCGTGTAATCATAGCATCATCACATGATGTATTGCGACTTTCCCCCCTTCGCTAAACCGGGCAAGGGCATGGGTAGCGCGTAATGCATCTGGCCCATGGACCACAAGTTTGACACCCCCCCCCAGCTTTATAGCATTCAGAAATATCACACACTTCTCTGTGTTGTTTATGGTTCAGAGGAGGAAGAGGAAAAAAGAGGAGAAGAGAAGAAAAATCCTTCAATTGGTTGGAAATCCAAACAAATTTTTGTACTCAAAATCATTTTTTGCAAAATTTTGCAAAAAGGGGCATTTTTGCCCTCCCCCAGACCCCAGGAGCATTCTGCAGGCCTCCCAAACCCTCTGTGCACCCCATTTTTCGCAAAAATGGGCAAAAAATAGGCCTGTTTTTGCGAAAAACGGGGCATGCAGAGAGGAGGGCAAAAACCTTTTTTTTTTGTACTTACCTCTTCGAAATCTTGGTGCGTCTTATATACCATAGTCCGAAAAATATGGTAGCTATTCCAGACAGCATACTCTATCAGAGATAGACTTAAGCAGATCAAGGTATGAGTAATGGTGAGGTTTTGCTTGCCCTGTCCTATCTCATCCACTAATTTAAGTGCAACGAAAGATCGTCAGGATAAAAATAAAATCTGATTGCTTTATCACATAAGATTACAATGAGGGTATTATCTTGTCCATAAGATCAGGTAGTAAAATACATGGATTAGCCCTGATTCAGATGGCATGGAATCAAGCTATTGATTAGAACTGATCGATAAATGGGCTGTGCATAAAAAAAAGAGAGAAAAAATCAAAATGCAGTTGGTTACATTCCAGTACAAATTGCCTAAACAGAGGATGTTTGAGTACAACGTAATTGCTCTTCTAATCTTTTTCTTCATTCTCTAAATTACCAGGAAAACGGCAACTGCAGATGCAGAAGGAAGATACCCCATTTTCAAGCAATTTGAGGCTGCTTTGCATCAGCCTGCAGAATTGGTTTCTGCTGTGGCTTAAGCAGGATGAACAAACCAAAGAGGGATTTTCTCTTCTGCAAAAATAGTGACAGTTGTCCTCCTTAAAGTAATTGAGAAGACTACATGCAAACATTCTGAAGAAATGAAAGAAGTCGAGCTCTGGTCACGCAAGGAAGTGGCAGATTGGTTGTTGGAGAATGCAGTGCCCGAATACTGTGAACCGCTGAAGCATTTATCTGGGCGTGATTTGATCAACCTAACTAAGGCCGATTTTGAGAAACCCCCTTTGTCGCGAGTAACTTCTGACAGCGGGCAGCAGCTTTTAGACATGATAGAGACTTTGAAAATAGAACACCACATCGAGGCACACAAAAATGGGCACGCCAACGGCCACCTCAGCATCAGCACAGAAGCCCCAACCAGTGAAAATGGCTTCAGCAAAGCCCCCAAACCAAATGGGGTGCCGAATGGCTACAGGAAAGAAATGATAAAAATCTCCATGCCGGATCTGGAACGTTCTCAGTATCCTGTGGAGTGGGAGAAGACGTTTCTGGCTTTCCTTTATGCACTCTGCTGTTTCTTCCTGACCACGGTGACAATCTCAGTTGTCCACGAACGAGTGCCTCCCAAAGAGGAGGAGCCCCCACTTCCAGATGCTTTCTTTGATTACTTTAACCGGGTTCAATGGGCCTTTTCTATCTGTGAAATTAATGGTTTGATCCTTGTAGGACTTTGGTTAGTTCAGTGGCTGCTTTTAAAATACAAGTAAGTGAGTGATGGTTGCTCCTGATTTTATTTTTATAGACGCCTGCTTTAAATTGTGATTTTTCTGTGTTGGGGACTCTACTTAATGGTAAATCTGCGTCAAAAAAATATTAAAGTATACATGAAGGAAACTTGTGAGTGAAAATTAGAGCAACAACTGAATAAAATATGCTGCAGAATAATAATTTACACAATACAATGTGAACAATGCAATAATATTTATTTGATCAATAAATAAGCAAAATTTAGAAGAACAAAAATGGAGTGAAGGAAATACATTCAATGCCACACTAGCAACTAGCAAAATATATCACTTATTATAACATTCACTCCTCTACTACTATGTTGATATATTTGTTATCCAGATAATATGAATAGAAAACATTAATAGGTGTAAAATAAAAACTATATATCCCCTAACAGTTTATTAAATTAAGATGTATCAAATGGAAAGTAATGTTTTAAAACCAAGGTGAGTATGTTTTTAATCAGTTTTGTCTTATTTTTATTGTGGCAACCCAAAATTTAGCTATAGCACATGTAATGAATGGTTTCAGATCCTAAAGGAGAAGGTTCATATAAAATCCATTTGGATTTCCTGGAAATTTATCTGTTAGGGGCAAAATATAGATTTGCCTAATATCTCTGTAAAATTGACAGCATAATTACTTGTGAGATCGTTTCAACTTCCTTGTCATCACATAGGCTGATATGCTCAGTTACAGGGACTTTATTATTACTACTAAAATAGTAAAGTTTACTATTTACTTTTACCATTTTATTATACATGCTTTGAAGAAGTGCAGATTGAAGAATATTGAATCTAGCTTTAAAGGATGCAATTCTCAGTTTAGGGAGGGTTAGATTTAGCAAGTAACTTCTGCAAATCTGGATTCCCTAAGACATGGGTATTAAACTCACAGTCCGCGGGCTGAATGCGTCATGTGCTGGCCACGCCCACCCCCATTTAGTGAAGGGGGAAAAAGTCCTGATACGTCACATGACGACGTGACGATGTGAGTTTGACACCCCTGCTCTAAGATGAGAGAGGAATGGCATCAGTGATGCCTTCAAGTGTGTGAAGAAGAAAATAAAATGGAGATCCAATTAGATTCTCCTGCATCATGGAGAAATGTGTTGTTCAGAGAAGCATTATGACTCTTTTGTATACTCCCTGCAATTCATGAGTTTTGGGGAAACTTTTGTAGTGTGGCATTTCTGAGATGTGGGGTGAGGATAGGATATATAAAGTAGAGGAGGGCGAAGATTATCGTTATTCAAGAATATTTCTTGACCTCATCATAAGATTAGGACTTGGGTTTAAAAGAAGCAAAATACATACAGACTGTCCAGCCTCTATAATGTTACATCGGGATTTTTTCCTTGTTGAAAGCTTTCTCGGGACAGTTGTGATAAAATATGAGATATTTGGCAGTTTCATATAAGTGATAAATGTGCCCTGAATGGGACAGGGCAGGTGATTTTACACTAGTTAAAAGCCTATAAAGTTGAGTAAAATAGTTCTCAAAACTGGTTTATATCCAGACGAAGACTTTCACAATCTTCTTGTATTTATGTTGAAATTTGGATTTTCACTCGTAAATAGAAATCAGTGGAGTTCATGATTTCAAAGACCCAAAATGAAGATTTCAAAGACCCAAAATTAAGCCGGCAAACATATATGGAAGAAAGATTGAAAGCAACATAAAGTTGTTAATACCATTAATTTCAATTTCCTTCAGTTCGTCTTATGCTGAAAAATATTTTTCCTGGTTCTAAAAGAGAAATTTTGACAAAATGATTGAGAACAACATTGGATTACTGCCTTCACTCTGACATAATGTTGTATAATAAAAGTTGCATTATGTGATTTGTGAAAAAGCCAAATATTTGTTATGCAATCTCCAACTCGAAAAACATTTTGGAGTGCTTGCTTTTGAAATATGGCAATGTTTTGAGGGAGAGCATCCATTAATATTTCATATAGTGGTCTGGATCCAAGAAAACTGTATTATTAGTTTTGTACACTAAATGGAGGATTGGATAACAGCTTCCCTACATATTAGAGCCAAGCATTTTAGAGTCTTGCACAAAAAGTTTGTAAAATAACATTAGTGGTGAATTGTACATTGCCTTTTCAGTAGAAAGCATCTAAAAAGCTTTTCCAAAATAAATCTTCACAATCTGTTCAGCTTGATATTTATACTTGATATTTATTTTATATAGTTATATATATATAGTTATATATATTTATATGAATATAAATATATATAACGACATTCAATTGGCTGTTTTTGTATGTTGTCATACTACATAGATATTAACTAAAACCCCGTTGATTTCAATGATTGTGCTATACAAGTATGCTAAATCTGGAAACTATATCTGATTGAAAACATTTTACTATCAACTCTCCCAATTTTATTTTTTGATAACAATATGAAAGTGGCTTCTAGTTGTTTCCTTCTTAGATTTTAAAAAAACTTTCCAGTTTAACTTTCTGCCCTGGTATTTTTCGATGGTCATCATCCAAGTTCTAGCCCCATTTTAAGCCTAATTGGGCTGCTTCAGAACATCTAAGATCAGTTAGGTACTGCTACTAGTTGGACTTGTTACCCATACTTCACTCTTAGACTGGAACGTTGTCTTTTAAAACTGTTAACAAAATTCAGAATAACTTTACACGAAGTAGTTACTGAGATTAAAGAAGAATCTGAGGAAATGTCTTCTATGTCTTGTAATAGTTAAGAATGTCTGAAGTTTTAAGTAGTCCAGAGGAACTAGAAAGAGGCCTTACAACTAAGTATTACATATTTATAAAAGCAATAGAGAGTTTATTTAAAACGAAATAAACATATTTAGTTTTAAGAAAATCATTTTGATGTCAATTTAAAAAAATGGCAAAAGGTCTCTAAACGGGGACTAAAGGCAGAATAACAGTTAGGAAGAAAAATCTCTTTTTTTTTCTTAGTGTAATTTGTTTTTTTCAACTGTTTTTTTCAGCTTCTTGCTATCCTAAAAATAAATGCACCACCATTAACTTGCATTGAAAAAATGCACAGTGAACTTACAAGCCCATAAAAACTTAAAAACCCATGAATGGGAGATAAATACATTTATTTGATTAGAGAAGACAGTGAATATGCATACAGCCCTTCTACTCCAGGGGTGTCAAAGTTGCGGCCCAAGGGCCAGATGCGTCACACGTTGGCCACGCCCAGTTTAGCAAAAGGGGAAAAAAAGTCACAATATGTCACGTGACACTGCCATGATGACACAAGATTGACACCCGTGCTCTACACCATTTTATTCCAGATTACACCCCATGCTGCATTCAGTAATTTTTTGCAGCTCTTTGGGAAAACTTCCAATAGTTCTGTTTTTGTTTTGTTTTTTGGTCGTGTAGAAAAGAAACCTAAGAACCAGATTTAACGTAGAAACAGTTTGCAGAATTTTCTTATGCTTTTGCTTACACTACAGTCTTCTTGCAACTATCCTGGTTCTGTGAAGTTGGAATATTTCATTTGATTTTGTTTTTAGTAGTTTTCGGCCTAAATGGAATAGTGCCTTGTGGAGAGCACTTTTTTTACAGTATTCTGAAGCACTTCAAATGATATATTACAATTCTCTCTATCTTTTCTTTCCCCCTTCAGGTCTATTATTGGCAGAAGATTTCTTTGTATAGTTGGCACATTGTACTTATACCGGTGTATTACAATGTATGTAACGACACTTCCAGTACCTGGCATGCATTTCAACTGTTCGCCAAAGGTAACTTCTTTTTGGTTTTGCTATCCTCATCTAACAACATTTTCCCCCATTTCCTTAGACATTCTGGAAGAGCTGGCTCAGAGTGACTAATGAATTTCTTACAAGGGGAAATTGGCTGAATTTTTTTCAAAGATAGTCAGTATTGCTTATTGCTTAATGTTGTGTTGATCAACCAGATGAACAGGTACTGTCAGGATTCAGTTATATATTTCTGTTATCCTGTCATGGCTTTTCGTTCAAAAGCAATCATTTGGTTATCACATTGAAATACACCCATGAAATACCCAGCTTAAAAGGCAAAAAAGACTGTCAAGAATTGATCTCATTCCTTAGGCAGGCCAGAGCGATACGGCATGTGAATTTCGAAGGAATTTATAAACTCCCCAGTTACCATATTTGAATGTAGTGTGATAGAAATAACTGCAATCGATTTAGGGTAACATCCTTAATATCATTCCACAATTTATCATCCAGAAAAATTGCTTGATGGTTAGGAGAAGCACAAGACAGGTGGATACCTCCTTTGGATACATAGATGTAGAGCTAGACAGAGTTTTCTGTCTAGGCAAAAATTTTAAATAGACAAGGTGGAAGAGGTTTTCACAGCCCTCCAGAAGGTTAATTGGATGCGGCCCTCTGAATCTCCCAGGATAAATTGTTCCAAAGAATCTAGCAACCATGGAAAAGATGCTTCTTAGACATTCTGTACTATTTAACAACATTTAAGGGAAGAGGCCTGGATTGTGCCCATCCTATCTAATCTGATAGTGTAGTTGGCATACCAGTAGCATCACATGAGCCAATGATGAAGCCTTGAGAACTGCCAAGTGCCACTGCATGCTGGGTCAGGTGCAACTTCTGAGTGGTCTTCAACAGCAGCTCCATGCAAAGTACATTACAGTAACTAAGATTACTAAGGTTTGAGCAATGATGAGCAAGGCCTCCCAGTCCAGGAAGGGGCACAATTGGTGACAATCCAAAGCTGTGCAATGGCTGCCATAGTGACTGGAGACTCTCGGGTTGTAAGCGTATGTGAGCAACTTCATCCACATTTTTCTTTGAGATGTCAGCTAAATGGCATTGTTGTTTAGAATTTTCAAAGAAACATGATAAGTGAGTTAGTGACATTTTAACCTTGAAACTTTAGATACCTGTATAGGACATCTTTGGGTTTAAACCAGTATTTTCTTTCTGGATCATTGTAGTTTCTATTTTTATTGATATCATACAATGCCAATATATAGAAAAAGTACACATACCAATGAGGAGTGAATCTATTAAACTTGGCCCCTAACTTTGTGAGATTGGATTTGCCATACTTGGAGGATCTGTTTATTTCTATCCAAAAAGAGTAATATTCATTTCAATCATTTCTTGTTAATCAACATCCTTCTGCAAAAAAGATGTGTCAGTTCTCCCCACCTAAACAATGATTCGGACTTCTTGTTGTTATTTGACTGATTATAGTAGAGAAAGAAAGAAAATGATTGTGCTTCTCTGATATTTTAACCTATTTATATTGAACAATGAAAGTGATTTTAGGTTCCTACTTTCTGTTTGGATGAAACCATCACGACTAGAAAAAAAAAGTGGAAAGTCTGTGGTTATGCAACGAAAAGTTCCCTGTGCAATTTTCATAAGGGGTATCTGTGTTATAATTTTGAAACCTGTGAAGTAATTTGCGGTTCTGGAAAAGATTAGCAAACACGTTCTTGTAAAAGCTTTTGTATAGTGAACGTACCTCCCTCAAGCTTATGTTATAATCCATGAGCCTTTGTGTTGGGACAAAATTCTTTATTGCTATTTATTCCCACTGCTGCTTTGATTCATTCAGTGGCCTGGAAATTTAATTACTTGCAGTGCAGTGTTTTACAGTTAGACGCATTTGAACCTAACATGTTGATTTATCCCTTCCTCCTTTCTGAAGCTTTTTGGCGACTGGGAGTCACATATGAGAAGGATCATGAAGCTGCTTGCTGGGGGTGGTCTGTCAATCACAGGAGCACATGACATGTGTGGTGACTATCTATACAGCGGCCATACGGTGATGTTAACTCTGACATACCTATTTATCAAAGAGTGTAAGTACCTCCATTATTATTATAGAACAATATATGTTATTTGATTAATTGAGATCACCCTGCCAAGGTGCTGCCATTCACAAAGTTTTATACCTTATTATATATTTTTAAAAGAAGTATCTTTTAGGATATAACTCTCCCCAAAATAAAGCAACTCAGAGAAGATTTGTTAAGGATATTGATTTTTCAATGGTCTAAAAATATACAGTATAGATTGATGCAACAATGTTTTGTAATTGCTTTATATTATATTTGCTACATTGCACCTATTCTATCAGTAAAAGACTGTAGAGATTTTGAGTCATCCAGGTCATGATTGTCCTAAAGGTGCTACATCCGTCCATTCATCGCTATCCTGTCAGAGCTGAAGAAACTGCTTGGATGAGAAGTGAAACATCTTCAAAAGGAAAAAACAAAGTCCAGTTGCCTCCTGAAAAAGCACCTTTGGGATATTCTATCAGTATTTACTAAACTTTATGACAGCTAGTAACAGTTGCATGAATTGGACAAAAATTTTAATCATACAGAACTTGTTTCGTAGGAGTGACCTACAGGACTTCTTAATTTTCAGTAATTGCAAACAGTCCCGAATAAGATTTTTTCAAAGCTTCATACCAAGTTAGCCATCTTATAACTGAAGCAAATGAAAATTAGAATACTGTTGAAGCAACTGGAGTAACACAACAACTTTTTAGTTCTTACTGTTATGCGAGTAATATCCTTGTTGAATAACCACTTGTTCAGCAACCATTCAAAGTTATGGTGCTGAACAAGGGGGACTTAAGAACTGTTCCTTGTAGTGGCAGCCATCATAATGGTTCCCAAGTTCACACGATCATGATCCCGGTGCTTGTCAACTAGTTCACAGTTATGACATCACCGCATCCCACCGTTTGCTGGTGGTGCAGTGGTTAGAGTGCAGTATTGCAGGATAATTCTGCCGATTGCCAGCAGTTCAATCCTGACCGGCTCAAGGATGACTCAGCCTTCCATTCTTCCGAGGTCGGTAAAATGAGGACCGAGATTGTTGGGGGCAATATGCTGACTCTGTAAACCACTTAGAGAGGGCTTTAAAGCACTATGAAGCGGTGTGTAAGTCTAAGTGCTATTGCAATGTGATTTCCATTTACGACCTTCCCAATTGGCTTCTGACAAGCAACGTCAATGCAGAAGCCTGTGGGAAGTTGCAAATGGTGATCATGTGATCGTGAGACACTTTTGACTACATGGTATTTTTACTTTTACTTTACTTTTATTTAATTTGTATACTGCCCTTCTCCCGAAGGACTCAGGGCGGTGAACAGCCAACAATAAAATACATACATACAAAATTTAAAAAACAGAACTAAAATCAAATTAAATAATTTGGCCTAGACAGATTAAAACCCCAATCAATTTAAAACAGATTTAAACTTTGAAAATTAAAAGATATTGAAAATATTAAAATTGTTTAAAAATTGTTTAAAAAGAGGGAGAAATTTAGGCCAGGCCCGCCTGGTGAAATAAAAAGGTCTTTAGAGTGCAGCGGAAGGTGCGCAGATCCGGGATCCTCCGTATCTCCAGAGGGAGCTCATTCCAGATAGTAGGTGCCCCACAGAGAAGGTTCTCCCCCTGGGGGCCGCCAGTCGACATTGTTTGGCCGACGGCACCCGGAGGAGCCCCTCTCTATGAGAGCGTACCGGCCGGTGGGAGGCTATTGGTGTAGTAGGCAGTCCCGCAAGTACTCAGGTCCTGAGCCATGGAGTGCTTTAAAGGTGGTAACCAAAACCTTGAAGCACACCCGGAAGACCACCGGGAGCCAGTGCAGCTCGCGCAGGAGGGGTGTTACATGGGAGCGCCATGTCGCTCCCATTACCACCCGCGCGGCCGCACTCTGCGCCAGTTGGAGCCTCCGGGTGCTCCTCAAGGGGAGCCCCATGTAGAGAGTGTTACAATAGTCCAGGCAGGAGGTGACGAGGGCATGAGTGACAGTGCATAAGGAGTCCCGATCCAGAAAGGGACGCAATTGGCGAATCAGGCGAACCTGATAAAAAATCCTCCCGGTCACGGCCTATTTGCCTAATGACAGCAACTGGGACTGCCAGAACTGCTTTGTAAGTTGGCATAGTCACATAAAATCATGCTTTACTACTGCATTGCTTAGCGATGTAATTGCTGGTTTCAATTATCACTGTTAACTGAGGACAACCTATAATGTTTTCTGTTCTACTTAATCAAGAAGTGGCACTTATAAACTTGTTATCCTCTCATAAGACACTGAGTGGAATCCACTGGTCTTCCTTCACTGATAAAAACCTCCCATCAGCAGAATGTGGAGACGAAAATTTATTTCTTGTATGCTCCCTCCAAATCTCCACAAGGTTGGAAAGGCCTCTGTGGAGTACATTCTGAAGAATTTGAAGATCAAGAGGAATAAATAAAACAATAAAATTACCATTCCTGTTTTGCTGATCGAAGCTTTCTGTTGATTCCATCCAGTCATTTTTAGAATATGCACAGAGAAATTAATTCAGGGGCAGAACGTGCAGAAATGAGATTAATTTAACCACGATTTTTTAACCAAAAATCAAGCTGTGCTATAGATTGAACATTTATATTTAAACTTCATAAATTAGCAATCCAATTATTGCTGTATCTAGCTGACTTGTTAAAATGTCAGTCACGATAGTATTCTACAGGGTGGGCCATGCTTGCATTTAAAATGGAATGCTTATAAATTAAATATCTATTACTAGGTGTAATAAAATATTCGTAATAAATGAACCATTAATACTGAAAACATTCAGTTCATCCTTATGGGGTTTTTTATATCAAAAATTACATCAATTGGTAATCGCATTCCAATAAGAGGGGATTTTAATATTTCTCAAGGGGTAATAGGAATGAGAGATTAATCTTTTCTTTTACCCTTAGAAAGTCCATTTCATCCACTTGCTTTGATCCTGATCCTGTTCCAAACTTTTCAAACTTCAAATTGAAATGCTGTGGAGATTCAACTCTTGGAAAAGTTTTTTAGACAAAAGTTATATCTCATTCTTTTTTACCTTTGTCAGTAATACAGCATGACAGGGCCTTAGAAGCTATAGTCCTTGATACGAGAGCATAAATTGCCAGCGAATAAAAGGAAGCACAAATACCTTAGTTATTCTTTTCTCTCCAAACCTCTCAACTTGGTTGGGGAAATATGTGGGTTTGGAAATAGAGAATTTGTAATCCAATACTTGGATTATGAAACAGCAAAATAACACTGTAATGACTGTAACAATACATATTTTCAGTTGAGATCTCATTTGAATGGTGACAGTTTTCTCCAAAACACTCCATGTTTATCAAAGTGGATTTAGGATCATTTCAGGTTGTGGAAATCATAGAATCATAGGATTGGAAGATGTCTTGGACTGGGCCTTTTAGTCCAATCCTATGCATATGGCAGGAATCTCATACTTGCTCGAATTAATGGTTCTCCAATTTTTGCTTAAAACACCTCCCACAATGGAGCACTTATGGTTCCAGATGGCAAATATTTCTGCTTAATACAGAGGTGGGGAACTATGGCCCCTTTATGACTTGTGGACTTCAACTCCCAGAATTCCTGAGCCAGAGTGAATTCCCCACTCCTTGCTTAATAACTCTCAGAATCAGCAAATTCTTCCTTCATTTGATTTTGAATCTTCCTCTACAAAACACCTACCCATCGGAGCTACAAAGAATTAGTTCAGACCATTTTCCTTATGATAGCCCCTCAAGTATATGAAGACTGCTGTTATGTGCCTTGCTTTTCTGCATATCACTTGCAAGAAGCACTTATACGTATGTACCACTTCATAGTGCTTTACAGCCCTTTCTAAGCGGTTTACAGAGTCAGTATATTGCCCCCAACAATCTGGGTCCTCATTTTACTGACCTCGGAAGGATGGAAGGCTGAGTCAACCTTGAGCTGGTCAGGATTGAACTCCTGGCAGTGGAATGCAGTGTTAGCTTGCAATACTACATTTTAACCACTGCCCCACCATGGCTCACCCCGTTCTACTTGGGAATGATCTTGTTTTCAGAATAGCAAACATTTTAATTTCTGTGCATGAAGATATTTTGTGTTTAAAGAATTCATAAATTAAGGCCCCTATGTTTTTCCTTGTTTTCAGATTCACCTCGGCGATTCTGGTGGTATCATTGGATTTGCTGGGCTCTCAGCATAGTCGGGATGTTCTGTATTCTTTTAGCTCATGATCACTACACTGTGGATGTGGTGGTGGCTTACTACATCACTACAAGACTTTTCTGGTGGTATCATACCATGGCCAATCAACAAGTGAGTTTCTTTCTTTCCCCTGTAAAAATGAATTATTATCTGGGTCTAGCTTGCTCAAGCCCAGTCCAATATAATGATCATTTCAGCACAAGCTTATTTTCTGGCTGCATCCCTCCTTCCTACAGTATCATGTGTATAGTTTAATCTCTTACTTGAAGGATTAGGGGTTTTTTTAGGTTAAGATTAAAATGCAGGTAGTCCTTGACTTACAACACTGTATTTATTGACAGTTCAAAATTACAACGGCATGAAAAGAGTGACTTATGACCGTTTTTCACACTTATGACCATTGCAGCATCCTCATAGTCATGTGCTCAAAATTCAGATGCTTGGCAATTAACTCATATTTGGGATGGTTGCAGTGTCCGGCCGTCCTGTGATCCCCTTTTGCAATTTTCTGACCACCAAAGTCAATGAAGCCAGATTCACTTAACAACCATGTTACTAAATTAACAATTGCGGTGATTCACTTAACAGCTGTGGCAAGAAAGGTCGTAGAATGGGACAAAATTCACTGAACAACTCTCTCGCTTAGCAACAGAAAGTTTGGTCTCAGTCATGGTCCTAACTCAAGGACTATGTGTAAAGGACTGGACAAGAATTGGGGCAGTAGATAAGGCCATGATATTGGACTGTGCATAAATCTTTTTTTGCAGAAACTGGAACCCTTGTGGCCATTCCCTCTTCCCAAATTATTTGGGGGATTGATCTGCTGGATATTGGGTAACAAATCAATGTTTTCTCATACCTCAGTCATTCTAAGGTAGCTGGGAGGAAGAATAGGCTGAAAGACCCATTTCAGCAAGTTGGGAAGCCACAAGTTTTAACCCATCACATAGCTGGTGACTGAAGGCCTCACATGAGTCACCCACAAATAACATTTCTGTAAGAATTGTGGAAGAAAGGGGAAAGATTGTTCCTAAAGTAGAAAAGTGCTATGCTGTTAAATAAACAACACGCACAGTGAACTTGTCTATTTTATAACTTTGAGTTTTATAATTAGACTCATTTTTGTTCATAGGAAAAAGAAATCTTAAGTAAGTGTTATATGTGTCATAAGACTAAGTCCATTATTGTTTCCTTGATAATGGTCTCTTTGAAATAACAGATAATTTGTCAAGTTAGCTTTTGATGCCACTATCATCATCTTGAATTTAGTCATAAGACTAAATCTCATAATAACATGATGCAAGTGATAAAATATGTTCTGAAAACTGTGCTTACTGAATGAATATTGATCTGCTTCCTGTTACTTATGAAGTTATGTACTTCAGTGTAACTTTAAAGGTAATTGAACTTCCTCAAGCTTATTTAGAGCCTCTTTCTATGTAACAGAAAAACTAGGAGGCAAGGGTAAACAAGACAGTTGAAGATCATCCTTCAGGGCTTCTGATGTATTATCTGCAAAACGAACTAGGACCTCTGTTTGGAAAGTAAATGTGTTTGGTAGAGATAATATAGGAGCCCAAGGTTTCCCAATTTGCAGAATAGTCCTCTATTGAGTGTTAGGCTGAGCCATATGTTTTTGGCAGCATGTAAAAGTGCAGTGACAGTTGCTTAATAGCAATAGCACTTAGACTTAGATACACTTCACCGTGCTTCTCCCGTGGAGCTGTGGAATAGTCCAGAAATGAGTTGCTACAGTCGGATCTGCCTGGAGATTGAGTCATATTTTTTCAGCCATGCCTCCTGTCTTCCTCCCTCAGGCCCAGTTTCAACTCAGTCAGCCTGAGAGAGACATTTCCTTGCAGATCGTCTCATCGCAATCCATTTCTGTACTATTACAGCATTCAGGTTTTTTCTTTCAGTTTCTTGATTTTTCAGCCTAATTTCTTATTAGGCCCCACGAGACCAGCTAAGTCCGTGCTGGCTAGTCCAGCTTAGCTGGCAACAGCGCCAGGGCCCGAGACGTGGGCCAGCTGTCAGGCGGCCCCACGCAGCGAGATTTTCGGATTGCCACGTTGCCATTCTTCCGAACATGGCTGAGTCAACCTTGAGCCGGTCAGGATTGAACTGCTGGCAATTGGTAGAGTTAGCCTGCAGTACTGCATTCTAACCACCACGGCTCTTAAGGTCTGCAGTTACTCATGTCTTAAGTAACTCTTACAGTATCTGATCACATGGCCTACTCCAAATCAGTCTGAACCACAATTAATAGAATGTTTTTTTAAAAAAATCTCCTTGCAGAGATGTTTTGTCATCTCTTCTGACTCTGAAATCGAATCAATAGGTCACAGTTTATTCATCTCTGCTGCATTTAGCATGCGGAGTTCAGCCCTACTTCTTGCTCATTTTTCAGGCTAGTCTGAAATCAAAGTTACTTGCTTTCTATCTATCTATCTATTCACTTCTATTGAAAACTTCTGGATTTTGCTTAATTGCATTTGCTATTGAAAGAAAGTAACTGGCTTAAGGGTACTTGGTTGACTTAATGTCTAAGGCAAGATTAGAATTCATAGTCTCTTATGGTTTCTAGCCTGGTGCCTTTAATCACTGGCTCTCTTATGTTGGTTAAGGCCCCTGAAATTCCAGACATACAAAGATAGACATACACACAGGCATTATGTATATTCAGATGTTGATGTTTAGATGCCTGTACATTTTTGTATTTATTAACAAAATTTATAAGACTGCCAAACTCGTACAACCTTTCCTTCTTTCCTTCATTAGTTTTACTGTATTCCATTCCATTCTATTTTTACAATAAGAGTTGTTAGAATCACTAGCACTTACCACTTTCTGTAACCTGCTTCCTCTTGTGACTTGTATAAATTGTGGAGTGTTTTTTTGTGGGAGGGAGGTGTTTAGAAGTAATGAATAAAAGTAAGAAACACCACTGTTTATGGAGGGAGCTCCCAGCCACAATCTCTTTTCACCTCCTCTAATAATCCCTTTTTTTAAAAAAGGACAACAGTAGTTCTGTATTGGAAGGGCCAGATGCGAAGATCTTTACCTAACAACAGTATGAATTTCACTAGAAAGGTTCATGGGTTTCCTGAAAAACAAATTCATTATTCTGAGTGCTGTTAACTAAATAGCTTATTTATAATTTTTTATTTCAGGTGCTAAAAGAAGCTTCTCAGACTAATCTTCTTGCACGGGTGTGGTGGTACAGACCCTTCCAGTACTTTGAAAAGAATGTCCAAGGCATTGTACCACGTTCCTATCATTGGCCTTTTTCCTGGCAGGCTTTGCATCTGGGCCGGTCAGCAAAATACAGCAAACTGGTGAATGATACATAACAAATAACAATAAGGAGATGGCGAGAGAACTGTCCAAAAGTGCTCGGAACTCCCCTTGATGTGACGCCATAGCAATTGAACTGGTCCCTTAATTCTACCTTTTAACCCTTACCTTGACTTTAATCTCTTACCTGGTAAGCACTGTGATAACTTTTTTTTCTCCAAAGGATCTGCGATGGACAACAATAAAGTTACGGTAACTTATCATGCACTGTATACATTTCTTGTTAATAGATTGTGGATTTGCATTGCTCATCACCATATTTCTTTGTATATGATGCAGCAACATAACAAAAAAAAATGCTTTTATATCATAAGTTCTGGTCTTTCCAGTCAAATCTGGGAATGAAGCATATTATTTTCTTGGGAAAACATAATTTTCATAACTCTTGCCCCAAAGATTGGGCTGTAAGCCATTTTCTAGCAAATGTCTATATGAAGGTTTCTAAATACCTGACTGGGATAAATATACAGAAATCTTTCTATCTGTTTCACTGAAGCTACAAATGATAGACACAGAAAGGTTTGGTAATCATTGATTTTGTAAATCTGCAGTGACGGTGTCAAACGGTGCAAAAAAAAATTATTCTGTTGTAAAGTGATTTTCTAAGTATTTCCTAACTTTATTTTTCAAAAGATAATGCATTCAAATGAATTCTAAAAAGGTTTTTACATGATAGAGAAAAGAGTTAAACTTAAAAAAAAATGCTTCTTGGGAGAAAGATTTGTCTGTTCTTAGTGCCTTTCTTGTCTTGATAGTATGGTCAGTAGGCAGTCTTTACAAACTTTTGTTTAAAATAAAGTATTCCACAAAACCAAAATTATACGTATTGTACACATTATCAAATTTTATATCTAAATTAAACTGGAAATCTGTTTGCAATATTCAGATGACTGAATTGGGCGGGTGGGTGGAGGGGGAGAAATCTAATATGATAATCATGTCTTCACACTTTGTGAGCAGGTTAGAATGAAATATACTATTTAAATTATTTTATTGTCTACTCCATACATGGATTTTTAACTATAGCAAGAAAACAGCCATGACTTCCTTATTATGAGTTTATTTTTCAAAGTATAAACAAATAAAAAATATAAACAAATAAAAATAAATTCAAATTATAAACAATGTCTGATCCCTAAATGAAAATATTGTTGAAAAACAATTGATTTATTTAAAAACAGGTATGTGCAGAAACTGCATGTAACTCTAAAATTTTAAATCCTGCCATACATACTTTGTTTGAGGGAAGTATTCTATCCTATACTTGCCAATGTGCAGAAGAAAAATAGTTTTTTAAGAATGAAGAAGCATATATATATCTATATCTATATAAATATATATATATATATTCATTCTGTATTTTACGTGAAGCAGAATTATCTTCTGTAGGGTTTTTGTGTGTTCAAAAAGTTGAAATTTGTATTGTAAAACAATAACGGTGAAGGAAAATAAAAGGCTTTTAAAGAAGCAGTGTCCTTAGTTTGTTAAATGCAACAAGCAAAAAAACCAAAGCAAAGTTCAGAAAAGCACACATCTGATCTATATTAAAAGGAGCTCTATATATTATATATTATTATTGTCTACTTAACATTGGAAAAAATGGAGAAGGAACCATAGAAGGTACGTATCTGTATGTGGACACACCTGTGCCTCCAAGGCACTGTTAACTCTGGCAACTGTATGGACAAGACCCTGGAGTTTTCTTGGCAAGATTATGGAAGTGATTTGTCCTTGCCTCCTTCTTCCTGTGGCTGAGAGCGAGAGTGATGGTCACCCAGCTGGTGTTATGTCCAAGATGAAATTAGAACTCCCAGTCTCCCAGTTTTTCACCCCTTGCCTTAACTATTACACCAAAGTGGCTCTCCCAGATGCTGCTACAAATTGTCAAATTTTGGTGACAATATTTTAAACGATAAAAAGCTTGTCAAACTATAGAGAACTCTTCAAATCATGCTAAAAATGATGGAGAATGGGATAGATTTTAATATCTATCTTTTTTACAATCTGTAAAACCCAGCATGTTCCCTAGGACAAAATAATAGTATTTTATAAATAGCTTAAAAAAGAAAATCTAGTCACATTCTGAAAAACAAAATCACCACCAGACAAGAGCAACTGTAAATAACATGGATCTGGGTAGATTGGAATTCTGGCTAAATGAGTTATTAGCTATAACCAGGCATTTTTATAAGGGAAAAATGTGAATTAATGTTACAGGGGTTTCTTTACCACAGGGACAAAGTCTTTGTTCAAATGGAATGCTCTAGAGTTTCCTTGCAAAACTGGATGTTGGAAGGACATTACAGCTTGCTAGAGTTAGGATTTCTCTGAATTTTGGGACAATTATTTCGCTTAAATACCTATAGTTTAAAATGCTATAATTATTCAGTTCATAATTATGCCACCGAGAACGATTATACAATGTCTCTGCCCACCTTTTGCATATTGTCAAGTTAAAAAAGAGATTTTAATTATATAGTTAAGTTATTCTGAGGTGTCTATGGAGATTCTCGGTCATCCAAGTCATGGTTGTCCCAAAAGTGCTTTTTCAAGAGGCAACTGTACTTCCTTTGTTTTTCCTTGAAGAAGTTTCGCTTCTCATTCAAGAAGCTTATTTAGTACTGAACTGAACTGAACTGAACTGAACTGAACTGAACTGAACTGAAGAAGCTTCTTGGATGAGAAGCAAAATGTCTTCAAGGAGAAAAAAAAGTTATTCTGAGATCTTTCCCAATTTTAACTCTAAACTTATTTTGCACCTCTTAAAAATACACCTAAGGGAAAGAGAAAAAAATTATGGAAGTAAAAAATGTATGGAAGAGATAAATATGCACAGGCAAATCTTACCAATAAAATGCATCATGTTGTATTTGAGCTCATTAAAAAAGAAACCCTACTGGTTACTTCTTTTGATTCTTTCATTTCTTCTTCTTGTGCCATATCCATCATTGCATGTTAGCGATCATGTTGGCAATTCTATTTTTGTCAACAATCATGTGAAAAAGTGCTGCTGAGTTTTGTCCCTTAGATTTTGAAGCCATGATGTTCTTCTTCTGCCTGGACCTCGTTTGCCTTCAATCTTTCTCTGGAGGATTAAGTGACGGATGCTGTATTTTTCTGCGTGTCGCATCACATGTCCAAAATATTCTAACTTTCGCTTTTTAATGGCTTTGATTATTTCCCTTGGCTTTCCCAGGCGGCTTATCACCTCCTCAATTGTGATTTTGTTAACCCAGCTTATATGTAACACTCGTCTGTAAATCCACATTTCAAATGCTTCTAGTTTCTTCAAGTGGTTTTCTGTCAGAGACGAACTCTCTACTCTGTAGAGCAGGATAGAAAAGATGTAACATCTGACAAACCTGATTTTCAGTCTATGTCATGACTGCAGAAGACCTTCTTCCACCAACACAGTCTAGGGTAGAGAAATGATTGATTCAAAGTTGCCTAGTCAGCAGCCATGCCTAAGGGAGAATTAGAACCTGGGTCTCACTGCTTCTAGTCCAGCACAGCACTACTTAAATCACTACATAACACTAACTCTCTTTTTCTCTTTCTGTGTGTATACACACACTATCTGCACACCCAGGCACCCACATATGTACACATTAGACCATATTATTTCTTACGTTGGTATAGACTCTTAGGGAACATATAATAGATTTCATCCATGACAATCTGTTCCTAACCCTGGTTCTTCAAGTCTCTCAACAGTGCACTCATTACCATTATAACTGAATCCATTCATCACGCTACCCATCTTCCTCTTCTTGTTTTCACTTTTCCCAACATTAAAGTCATCTCTAGAGAGCTAGGCTTTTGCATAATGTGTCTGAAGTAGGATAATTTGAGTCTGATCTCAGTGATGTGAAGAAGAGCTCTATGTTCATCAGAATTCAGCCAAAGGTAATTGAAATGGTTTTAAAATGCAGGCAAATATATAAGTAACTGGTTCCCTCTAGCTACCAAACATTAAATGTGGCTTGAGTTTTGAAAGCAACTTAAGTAAGTTGATAATCTTGAAGAGAGCCAGTATGGTGGGTAGCGAAGGTGCTTGACCATGAGCATGGAGAACCAAGTTCTAATCCTCCCTTAAGTGCAGAAGCCATCTGGGTTAGTTTGTGCAAGGCACTTCCTCTCAACCCTAACTAGCATCAGGCTCTGAAAAAAGTTGGGAATATGACCTACTTTCATTCCAGGTAAGTCTCAGTTAACTACGGTAATTGGGATCAGAATTTCTGTAGCTAAAGCGATAATGATCAGAAAGCTTGGCATCACACGATCATTCCTGATAGCAGTTCCAGCAGTGCCCGATTACCATTGTTAAGCCAGGACTTTGTAATTAATTAACCTCATATGACCATGACTCTTGACTTCCTGCCAGCTTCCCCATTGACTTTGCTTGTTGGATGCTGCAGAGTTGCCCAGGACAGACCAATGAATACTTGAAAGGGACAAGTTATCTCAAATTGACTTTAAATTGTTTCTTGTATGTGTACTTTTGTGCTTAAATGTTTTACTGTAAGTCTAGGCAATCTGGTGTACTCTAGTTGTTCTGGGTTTCACTTCCTATTAACCGCACTCAGCAGAGCTATTGGCTATTTAGTACTATTACTATTCTGGGAAATAGAACCAAAGATCTTAGAACAGTGTTTCTCAATTTCAACAATTTTTAAAATGAGTTGACTTCAACTCCCACAAGTTATCATATATACCCTGTTTCCCCCAAAGTAAGACATCCCCTGATAATAAGCCCAATTGGGTTTTTGAGCACATGGCTTATTTCAGGGTTCAAAAAAATATAAGACGGTCTTATTTTCGGGGAAACATGGTGATATATCAGTGATTGCATGACTTCTGTAGATGCCATATGCTAAATAAATAAATAAACTTCCCAGAATTTCCTAGCCAACATGCTAGCTGGGGAATTCGCCCTGAGTCTCCGGAGAGGGGCGGCATATAAATTTAATTTAATAAATAAATTCTGGGTGCTGGAGTTCACTCATCTAAAGTTGCTGAGATGGAGAACCACTGATCTAGAGGATGTTACGTTGCCCAGTTCTTGTTTATTGTTTGCTATGCAGTATTCAGTATTTTGTTATGGAACACCTGCTTTTTAAAGATTGTATTTTATCACCGAAAAATCATTTGCAAGCAAGACTTGTATGAAAAAAAAGAAGCAAGGGTTCAAGAGCAGAGCG